ACCTGAGCCGAAGGCAGCGGCTTAACCCACTGAGCCACCCAGGCGCCCCTGAATCATACTTCTTAAGTCCTCCAGAATAATACACAATTTGAGCTAGAGTAAAGAAAGGGACAGGAGACATATTTATGACTTTTCCCCAAACACTTACGGCTTTTTATCTCCACTACTAGGGAGGAAGGCTTTGCCTAGATTTTTTTTGGCTTCTTCCATCATATGCCGTCTCCTCACTTGGTTCAGACTTACATAGCCTTCACCTTCAAATATCCTTACAAAATGGGGATCAAAATAACCAGCCTGGAGATTTGACATTTCTTTGGATCCCCCAGGTAGCATCTGTTTATTTTTGCTTGCAGCCTCATTAAAAGGTCCTTTAAAAATAAATTAGGAATATCATAATTTTGAGCTCACTAATAATTAAAGAACATGAAAAATAACTGAGAAAAGTTTCGAACTGTGGGATTGGGCCCAGTGAGTTTTGAGCTCTAAATGCGGTCTCGACAAGTTCACTGAAAGCCCGTGTTAGAGTACATTCACAGTAAGACCTAAGAGGTTTCCATTAAATCATTTTATTAATTAGGTCCTGGTTATAGACTCTGAATTTTAGAGCTGAAAAAGACCCTGAAAGTCATTTAATCCAATGTTTCCCCATCCATAAATTAGAAAACACTGTGTGAGATTATCAGTAAGTACTTGTTGGGGGCGGGGTGCGGGGGGTTTAGGTTGAATGGAAAGGTGTTCCATACTCAAACTGAGACAATTCCCCTCCTGGATACATACTCAACATACATGAGGTTTATACTCACTAAAAGACGTGAACAAGAATTTTCATAGCTGTTTCATTCATAATATTAAAAAACAACTACTCAAATGTGCATCAACAGGAGAGCAAATAAATAAATGTGATATATTTATACAACAAAATAGTAGTAGCCCAGCAATATTTTTAAAAGGCTGTTTTTATAACAGCCCTTTTTTAAAAAGCCTTATTTATTTACATTTAGAGCTTCTTTTAAAATTTAGATCTAGGAGCCCTCAATTTGGGAAGTCCTTCCGTAATGTGAAAATTGTTTTGAAGTGCAAACAATCCTTGAATCAGCAAGTTATTTAAATATGAGTTTGTATCACTGGTTTTTTAATTGAAATTTTTGAAAAGGTAATATATTCACATGGTTCTAAATCCAATAACATGTTTTTACAATAAATTTTCCTGCCACACTCGTACATCCAGTTCCTCCCCCACAGGAAATCATGGTATTTTGTTTTCCAGAGAATGTTTAAACATGTCCCAATGAATATTTTCATTTACTTTTCCATCTTTGATGCTTAGTATAATATATAATAAACAAGTCTGCACCTTGATTTTTTTATTTAACAATATATCTTGGAGATGTTTCATGTCAGTGTATTCTTTTTGTGACAAAAGAGTCACTGAATAACCAAAAATTTAACTAAGTCATTTAACATGTTTATTTACTTTAGCTCTTTATTATTTATGACTTTTCTAAAAATCCCTTAGCTATTCACTTAGTATTTTACTTTTCAGGAAAGTAAGTCCTGTATGGCCTTTTGGCATCAAATGTAAATGTTGCTTGCATAAGAGAGTGTCCCATCTGAGAAACCATAAGCTAAAAACAAATTATTCTGCACCTTCAGAAAGAAGTAAAATTACCTAGGACAGAGAATATACCAAGGAAGGGTATCCCAGTGAAAGGAGCTTCCTGATCTTATAAAATTAAGTTCTCTCTTAACTCTTGAAATTTTACAATTTTGGGGCGCCTGGGTGGCTCAGTGGGTTAAGCCTCTGCCTTCAGCTCAGGTCATGATCTCAGGGTCCTGGGATTGAGCCCCACATCGGGCTCTCTGCTCAGCAGGGAGCCTGCTTCCCCATCTCTCTCTGCCTGCCTCTCTGCCTACTTGTGATCTCTCTCTATCAAATAAATAAATAAAAATCTTTAAAAAAAAAACAATAAAAATTTTAAAAAAAAGAAATTTTACAATTTTTTTCAACTTTAAACTTAATGCTCTAAAATACAGAACATTTAAAAATACCATTTAAGAATATTAAACCCCAAATTTCATATAGTAAATACCCACTGTTAGGCTGTAAAGAAAACCAGATATACTTACGATTAAATGATGACACATATTTATCACCAACAGTAACATATTCCATCTCACTGAAGAGGCCAATCCTCTCCATATCTGTTTTCCCTCCTTCCACAGGCATGGTTCCTTCTTGTGGTGGTATTCTCTATATTGACAACTTCAGAGGGTTCACTATGGTTATTTCTTTTATAGCAAAATCCTACTTTATGTTGAAAAATACAGGAAAAAAAGTTCAGGAGAAAGGCAATTATTAAATTTCAGTCCAAATTACTTGCAGTCTGGGAATTAGCATGCACTGTAAAACAATGGTCCTAAACTATGTGGGGAAAGAATCTACTTTGTGGGACTAAAGGGGAATAATAGCATTCAAAATTATGACCATGAACCCTCCCCTGGATTCTCTGGGTGATGTATCCACAAATAGGAAAAAATATGTATGACAGCATCTGTCATATTGCCATTCATCTGTTGTAAATGATAAAACTGTTACTGTATGGTATAGTACAAATATTGTGTAGAAAACATCTTTCTTTTGAGAAGTTCAAAGTATATTTAAAAATCAATTACATAAGCGGAGAGGACGCTTTCAGTTTAGAGCAAATGATTTAAACATACTGCGTTGTCTCTCATGTTGGAAATTACAACAGTTTTTCAGAATCCACAACACATACAGTCATTATGTGTTATCCTATAGTTCTTTTCTCAACTTCAAAAGAATACAAGAAATGTGTCACTGGCAAAATTAGTTCACAAAGGGGATGGATGGGAAAGGACAATTGTCTAGGCAAGATAAAAATTAAGAACAACAAAACAAATGATAATCCACAATGAATTAAGAGTATTTGTTAAAGGGCAAACTGCAATTGTGAATTTCCTTCTAAAATACCACATTAAACATTCAAGTATTTATTTAGACGTTTTTTAATTAAACAGGTTCTGGAAAGGAAAACCAAGAGCTAAGGAATATTTGCTTCCATTTCATCATTATATATTTTTAAATATATTTTTATTTATGAATGTATGTATATAAATATGTTTATATACATTATTATATTTTTAAATATATATTATTTTTTAAATGGTCTCCACATCTAGTGTGGAGCCCCAAAGGGGGAGCTTGAATGCACTACCCTGGCATCAAGACCTGAGATGAGATCAAGAGTGGGTCACTTAGAGTGAGCCACCAGGGCACTCCCATAATATTTTTTTAAGTACCAACTAGATGCACTGGGCTTACATTACTGAATAAAACAGACACGGTTTATGCTTCCCAATTTATAATCCTCAGTAAGACCCTTTTATCTTGAATTTCAGTGACACTAAACACACTTGCCTGTGTGTTCACAGGCAACTGTGGCTCATCTGAGCATCAACATTGCTAACGTGCAATATCAAGGCCGCGAGATTCCGTTTAAACAAAAGCATAAGAAGATATGCTTCCATTCCCCCCCCCCCCACACACCCCCATTCCTCCTCTTCCCCAGATCAGGTCTGTTTTAAAAGCAAACGTCAGTCAGTAGGGATGTACCACTTTCATTTGCGGCTTGTTTCAAAGCTCCATCCCACTGCCCAGCCACAAGGGTTTCCTGTGCTGTTTCATGGACTCAAATCCTTTAAATGGTTCGCAAAGTCCGCTATCACCCACATTTGTCACCATGGGGGACCCCACTCCCTGGCACCTGGGCTCCATCTGACTTCTTTCAATTCTCAGATAAGGCTCGCTGCAGCCACAGGACCATGGCACCTGCTGTTTCGCTTCCTGCGAGTACTTCACCGTGCTGACTCCTTTAGTTCCCCCAGCTAACACTGATCCTTCGGGTTGTGTAGCTCATTGATCACTTCTTTAATTATCTATCATGTACTTCCCTTCCCAAGCCCTCGCCATGGTTTATCTAACAGGTCATGAGTTCACGTACAACGTGTGGGAACCCTTTAATCAACAGCTGTTTTCCCCCACTCAACTGTTGGCTCCACGAAGGCAGGCACCGGGGAGAGTCTGGTTCTTCCTTACCCCAGTGTTTCCAGCGTCTGCGCAGCGCCTGGCACACGACCCAGAGAGCCACAGAGGGGGAAAGGAAAGGAAAGAAGTTCCCGCCTTGAATTTTCCCACTGCTTAACTCTTCCTGATCCACATTTACAGAATCGTTCGTTCATTCAACAAACACTTCGCAAACCCCTCCTCTGGGCAAAGCTCGCGGACAGAAGCTAGGAAAACATTTCAAAGGGCATGGTTCCTGGCCCCAGGTTGCTTACAACCTAAGCCGGCGAGCGCATAATGAAGTGTGCCACAAGTTGACTCCGGCAAGGTCCCTTGAGCTTCAAGCGCTGAGGGGAGGGGGCGGTGGAAGAGGGGCGGAGAACTGAAGAGACAGGAAAATGATTTCCCATTAAGGAAACAGGCTCTGAGTAGAGACGCATCTAAAGGACAACACCCTGCGGCCCCGAGGACCAAGTCACCTCTCAGAACGACGCCCCGTCCGACAGCCGACACCAGGTCGTCTGAGGTCGGGTCCGCGGTAACTCAGCCGCAGGAGCGACAGGGGCTGCGAGCCACGTCGTGCGAACTCCTGCGCGCGACGCCACCCTGCGAAGCGCCTCCGCACGCTCCGCACTGCCTATATTGACCGTGGCCGCAGGTGTTTATTGTGACGCGTTGCCTCGGGCACGGGAGAACTCGTTTCTAAGTACGCTACGGAAGGATACGTGGAGAGTGCGAAACACGCGTAAACACTTTAGAGTATGGATAGAATGAGACCGAATCAACCAATAGAATTTAGGGGGAAAAGACTTCTGCTCCTCCGCTCCAATACCCATCCGCGAGAAGCCGTGGTAAGGTCCGCCCCGTGACGTTGCTGCGGCGCATGTTGGGAGTTGTAGTTAGTCTCCCCAGGCTCCGCCCCCGGAAACGCCACTTCCGGGCTAGAGTGCTGAGCCTCTGCTAGGACGTCAGCGCCACTGTCAGAGCCACGTAGCAGACATGGTGAGTACATGTAGTAGACCCCTGCGTTTCCCTTAAGATTTTCGTAGCTTCCGTGGGTCCAAGCCCTTGAAAGGAGCTGCCCTGGCAGGACCCAGGGTAGCAGCTGCGAGCTCGGTGGTCTGGGCCTCCTTTCTCTCGGTCTGTCCCTGCTAGAGCCGGAAGAAAACTGTCCCGCACAGCCTAGACTATCCCAGCTCAGCCACTGTAAGGACCTTCGCTCCCCGCGCCTCCTCCTTGTGGAATCATGTTGAGAACGAGGGATTATTTGGCGTCTTGAAGGTTTGAAGAGGTATCGGACCTGGGAAAGATAGGAGTCACTTTCTTCAGATACTCTATTCCCTGAGCCCCCCCCCCCCCCGTTTCCCTCCCAGTCGTTCGGCCAGGTCTTCCAAGCCTTTTCCTGGATGTGGTGGTCTTCAAGGATGCTTTTCTTTACATCCAGCGTTTCCTCCCAAGTTATATATCCAGTTTTTAGAAATGTATTCCGAGCTCTAGATCTTTGTCTACTAATTGTACCTTCACCTGGATAACTCATACGTATTTCACACTCAGCAAGTTCAAAACTATTTCCACCTCCCCTCATCCCACACCCGCTCTTCCAAATATCCGCGGATCAGGAAATCCACCGTGTTGTGCATGCCAGAAACCTGGAAATCATCCTTGTCGTCTTCCCCTTCTCAACCCCTGAACATCTGATCAATAATCAGATCCTGTGCATGCTATTTCTGCATGGCTGTCAATTGTCATTCACGCCACTCCTACCATCCCTGTCCTTGCCCTCGTCAGATCTCAACTGATCTGTGGTAGTCTTTTAAGTGTTCTTCCAAGTGGATTTCACCAGCCTGTGCCCCTGCTTGCAGTGGGTTCTCCGACCTCCACCCTCAACTTTCCTTTCTAGTTGTTAATACTCGTACCTACTTGCCCTTCTCATCTCAGCCTTAAATGTTATTTCTTCAGAGAGGATCTCAGTTCAGAAGCCTAGGGAGGTTGTGGTCTTTTCACTTGAGATCTCTTGTGGAATCATCGCAACAACCCTATGAAATAATGGATTTTTCCTATTTTACAGAAGAGTACAGAAGTACTGAGCGATTAGTTACGTTGTGGAAATCATGCAGCGTCAAATACGCTCTTGCCTTTTTCACTTTTGCCTTCAGTATTTTTCATTGTCATTAAATATTTTGTGTTCAAATGGCAACTGTAGAACACTTCATAGAGCAGTTCCTCAAATGGTTGCCTAATATTTATATGGTAGTGTTGTTCTTTATTTAACTGACTTCTTACTGGTTTAGGTGGTTTCCTTTTTTTTTTTTTTTTTTTTTTTTTTTTTTTTTTGGTTCATTCTGTTTGGTTTTGGTGTTTTTTTTTTTTTTTTTTTTTTTTTTTTTTTTTTTGCAATGATGAGAACAGTATGGGAAGTGCACAACATTGAAGTTAAATTTTTGCTGAACTTTGATTATTTCCTTAGGACAAATTTCCAGAAGTAGAATTGGCTCTCATTTGTATGAAGATGTATTTGTTTTGTTTTACAACGGAATTTTGGTTCTGTTTGTCTTAGGTGATTTCAGAGACTATGGATATACTCTTCAGAATAAGAGGAGGCCTTGATCTAGCTTTTCAGCTAGCTACTGCTAATGGTAAGTCTGACCAAAAAAACTTCTTTTTTATTATAAATTGATGATGAAATATACTGAGATCCTCTTCATTTTGCAAATGAAACTGAGTGAGAGAGAGGATAAACTCAAATCGGGTGGTTAGTGAGTTCTATAAATTGGATTTAAACTTAGGCACTATGTTCCAGCACCACTGCTTGCCTGTGAGGCTTCTCTGTGCAAATTAGAAAAAAATGTCCCCTTTCTTAAAAAAGAAACTTCACTGCCCACTGGCAGACAGTTGTCACAATAAATATAAATATCCACAATGAGCACAGTGTAAACGAGACATGCAGATTTGAACATTGCAGACTTGCACCTATACATAACCCTGAGTCTCAAGAGCCTACACTCTTGAAAGTTATGTTGTTCTTTAATGGTATAAGCATTCTGTGGGAGAAATATCAGCAGAGTTTGTATCAGGCAAATTCTAGGATGTCTTCCCGTTTCTGACTTGGGCTAAGGCCACAAACAGAGGTAAAGGATATCAGGGGAGAGAGATGAGTTGTGTTTGAAAGGTGTTTCATTTGAGATGCCAGAGTCTATCAAGTGCAGATTCAGATAATTTGAATCTGAAATTGAGGGGAGGGTGGGTGGTCAGGACTGGAGAGAAAGAATATCTCTGAAGGATGATCATTAACACCATGATAAGAAAATCATTCAGGAAAAGTGTGATCAGTGGCATCAGAAACCACAGAGAAGTTCAGAAAGATAAGGAATGGGAAGGTCACTAGCTGGCCATCATTTCCTGGCCCCACGGAAATAGGAAGAGAGAGAATGCGGAATGTTCTTTCTGACTCATCCTTTCATGCTAAAAAAAAATGCTCTCAATCTTGGTCCATTCGAATCCCCACTCCCAAATTAATGAAAGTAAATTCGGGGATAAACAGAAGATAATCCAGGAATTGTGTTTGTCTTTTGTAGTGTAGCTGAAAATCTTTAAATTTGGCCTTCTGAAACATATCAAGATGTCTTAAATCTCTCTTGTTAATAAGTAATCTTTTCTCTACCACAACCCCAAGGTATTTATTTAAGATATCAGGGTGATAGTTAAATAAATGTTTTAATCACAAGGTTAAATAGGTTTAGGATTTAAGAATATAAAGTTTAAATAAGTATTTGTGTATTGTCTTTAAATATATCTTCTTGAACCATGAAAATGTTTTACATAATCCAAAGATTATAGTATATTAAAAAGAAATCCCTGAAAATGAAGTTAAAAAAAAGTTTCGGGTTAATGACACAATACACAGAAAAAACTTTGACTTTAGAATACACTACTCTTAGTGGGACAGAGTCCAAAGATAAAAAGAACTTCAAAGAAATTTGAATTTCATTCAACAGTATTACTGCTCTAAGTTATGTGGTATTTTGAAAATAATTGGTATCCTCATATATTAGTGGTGAAATAACTGTTTGGAAAACAATTTGGCAGTTTCTCAAAAGGTTAAACATAGACTTGCCCTGTGACCCAGCAGTTCTACTCTAAGTGATCACCTAAGAGAGATATGTGCACACAATAATTTGCACACAAATGTTCGTAGCCTTATTCATGATAGCCAGAAAGCAGAGAGACAGTCCACTTGTGTATCAGCTTATGAATGGATAAACAAAGAGTATTGTGTCCATTCAAGGATATTATTATTGAGCCATAAAAAGAAATAAAGTACTGATTTATACTACAATATGAATGAGTCTTGAAACTACTAGACAGGATGAAAGGTAGACATGAAAGGATACATAATGTGTGATTCCATTTATAGGATGTTTCCAGAATAGGCGAATCTATATGACAGAAAGTAGATTAGTGGTTGCTATGGGTCAGTGTAAGGGGAATGGGAAATGAGTGCTGATAAGTATAGGGTTCTTTTGGGGTGATGACAGTGTTCTGGAAATAGTGATGGTTATAAACCTTGTCATCTTCTAAAAGCAAGTGAATTGTATGCATTAGAAGGATGAATTTTATGGTCTATGAATTTAATCTCAATTTATTAAAAAGAAAGGCATAAATTTTCTTTTTTTTAATTTTTTTTATTTTTTTTATAAACATATAATATATTTTTATCCCCAGGGGTACAGGTCTGTGAATCGCCAGGTTTACACACTTCACAGCACTCACCATAGCACATACCCTCCCCAATGTCCATAACCCCACCCCTCCTGTCACAACCCCCCTCCCCCCATCAACCCTCAGTTTGTTTTGTGAGATTAAGAGTCACTTATGGTTTGTCTCCCTCTCAATCCCATCTTGTTTCATTTACTCTTCTCCTACCCCCTTAACCCCCCATGTTGCATCTCCTCTCCCTCATATCAGGGAGATCATATGATAGTTGTCTTTCTCCGATTGACTTATTTCGCTAAGCATGATACCCTCTAGTTCCATCCACGTCGTCGCAAATGGCAAGATTTCATTTCTTTTGATGGCTGCATAGAATTCCATTGTGTATATATACCACATCTTCTTTATCCATTCGTCTGTTGATGGACATCTAGGTTCTTTCCATAGTTTGGCTATTGTAGACATTGCTGCTATAAACATTCGGGTGCACGTGCCCCTTCGGATCACTTAAATTTTCTTTTTATATGTTCAATTATTGAATCTAGAGAATAGTTATTTGGGAGTCAATTTCCTATGTTGTACTTGTGTGTTTGGAACGATTCATGTTGAAAAGTTTAGGATTTTTCTTATTAACCTCTATTTATATTCTTTTAATTTAGAAATATTTATCAAGAAAGCAATAAGACATGTGCTGAGTGACCTGTCAACCAAGCTTTCTTCAAATGCCCTTGTGTTCAGAATTTGCCACAGTTCAGTATATATATGGCCTAATAGTGACGTAAACACCATTCCAGGAGAACTGAGTGATAGCTCTGCTTGTAAGAACATAATGCGCTTTATTCAGTGAGTATGTTTGAAAATTGCTAGAAATGTTTTCAAAACGTCATTTCATATTGTAAACATCTTTATGTATTAAACGTCTAGCTTTGAACAGGAAGAAGATATAAAACGAAAATTTATGAGAAAGAAAGACAAGAAGTTATTAGACATGGTAAGCAAATTTATAATCCTTGAATTTGAACCAGAGTGATGAGATCTTAGAGGTTATTTAATGCAACTCTCTTATTTTTTACAGATCAGATTGTTGTGGTCCAGAAAGAGTAAATGACTTGTCAGAGGTTATATCTCTGTTTTACATGTTTAAGCTTTTGTTCCATAGTCATACATATCCTAATACGTACATTTTGGGGGATGCTTTCTGTGCTCCCACAAAAATACACAGCTCAAGTATGTTTGCAAATTACTTAAAACTAAATAAAAATGAACCACTCTAAAACATGACAGAGACATATGGTGCTGTGAGATAGTAAATAATAAATGATTTACCTTTCTTCACATTGTTCTTAGTTCTGGTGCTTTTTGAACCAATGTTATTGAGGACCGGCCATTTGCCACAAAGTTGGCAAGTACTGGAGATAAATAACGGAGCTACTTCAACGGAGGAAGTTTTACGAAGTGAATACAACTACAGTGTTTTTCTAGGCTGTTATGGGAAAACAGGGTGGACATGAGGTTAGAGAGCTAGGTGGGGGCCACTTCAGAAGAAGCAGAACTAAGCCAGCAGCTATGGTAATGGAGAGGAGGGAAGGGATCCAAGAGATATTTAGGGGATAAAATGGATGATACTTGGAAATGAATTGGAAATGGAATGACCATTTTCTTTCTTGGGTTAAGATGGGCGATGGGGAAGACATGAGGTCGGTTTTGGTCACGTGGTTTGAGACACCAGTGAGACAACCACATGAGCTGTTACAGAACATACTGTGGGCTGTAGATCAGGTGATTTGAGAATTACGTGTAGCTGGAGCTTGACATTTTGAGGAGTACGGGTCGATTATTTCCTCAGATGGGGTTTTAGGCTTCCTCATGACTAGATTGAGGTGGTGCACTGTTGATGGGAATGCGCCTGAAGTAATGTCCTGTCCTCCTCAGCACATCGTATTGAAGAGGCATGTGCTATCAGTTGGCCTCTAATATTGGTGATGTTAACTCTGATCCCTTATTTCCCATTGGTGTCTGCTCATTTTCTTCTCTGTGAGGGCACTGTTTTTTCCCTTGTAAGTAGTAAGTATGTCATGGTAAGATACCTTGAGGCTATCTTATTCCTCACCAAAGTTTTACCCACCACTTTCAGTGTCAACCAATAATTTTTGTCTGAATCCAACAATAACCTGATGGTTGCAAAGTGATTTTGCTATCATTTCCTTTTATACTTCTTAGATGACATTGTACCGTAAGGAGAGCTTTGTTTTTCCCTATTTATTTATTACGTGCATGGAAGCATGGGTTCCTATTTTATGCAATGAGTTAAAATCTTTGGATGCTCACATTTTTCAAGATTTGGCCAATGAACGCTTCTTCAGGCTTGCTCCAATGTCCTTTTGACACTGTATTTTTGAGTACTTCCTACTTCTTCCACAAGATGTTCTAGGCACATTATGTACTGTCCCTGTTCCAGCTCAGGGATCAGGCATTTCTCTAAGGAGCACGCACACATATGCATACGTACCATACATGTATAATAAATATACACAGAGACACACACACACACCACAATATGTTTCTATTTATCTATGTAAATCATATTTATATTTCCAGTTCTACTTCTACCTCACTGAACTCATAACTTTTTGCCCCTGAGAAACTTGGCTTCTAGTATACTCAATATTTTGCCAGATTTGTTCAAAACAGAAAACATTCAAACAAAGTACTTTCAGAGTTGTTATTCCATACCACTGTAAAAATCAAACCTACTAACGGAGTTCAGTATCTGTTTATAATTCTCTGTGTCTTTAGGCCAGGGGCTTATAGTTCTAATATATGTTTAAAAGTTTCTTTGGTGTGTGGTTATTGTATCTTGTTCATTGGATTTTTTTTTTTTCACTTTAAGTCTATACAGAAGTAGAATAATGTATGAATCCTGGTGAACTTGTACCAGCTTTAATACTTATAAACACACGCACACATACACACATGTGCACACACATGAATGTTTAAAAAACATGTTTATCAACAAATGGTCAGTCTGATTTAACATTCATCCCCACTCCCTCTCCACCTCTCTTCAAATTATTTTGGAGCAGAGGAGATTTTTTTAAGATTTGTGCTTTTAAACAGTTTACTATAATACAGCTTTGTATGGCCCTTAAAAAGTCACTTGCCCTTTATATTTAACGTTCAGTATGCTATAAGTTGACTATTACTGTTTCTCTTTATAGCATCGAATAGTAAACATAGATCTTATGCTGGAAATGTCAACCTCTGTGGGAGCTGTCACCCCCATCATTGAAAGAGAAAGCGGAGGACACCACTACGTTAGTATGACTTTACCTGTTGATGTAGTTCTGTCTGTTGCTCCAGAAGAAACATGGGGGAAGTAAGTATTTTGTACTGCTACTGACACATTTATATAAGCCCTCCTCCCCAGAGTAATCAGAGCCCATTTTTCAATATCATGTAGATATATCCAGGATTATTGTTATTTTTACTATGATTTATTCCTTGTTTGTTATTAAACTGAGTCATCTAGTAATTAAATGTTTATTTAGAGGAAATAGGGTAGTGTGCAAAACCTATAAGATTTTCCCATTACCTACACCTAGAAAATATACAGTATACTTAATTTTGCATAAAGTTAGACTTCATTTAATAATCCTGGTCCAGTGAAGTATTTTTTACTGTATTTGGGATGTATTAACTCTCCATTCTAATTTATCATAGCCATTATAACTTTCGTTAATGTGCTTGAATATTTCCCTCCACAGAGTTCGTAAACTTCTAGTTGATGCAATTCATAATCAACTAACTGACATGGAGAAATGTATTTTGAAGTATATGAAAGGAACATCTATTGTGGTCCCTGAACCACTGCACTTTTTATTGCCAGAGGAAAAAAATCTTGTAACAATTTCATATCCATCAGGAATTCCAGATGGTCAGTTGCAGGCCTATAGAAAGGTAATACCAAGGGGCGCCTGGGTGGCTCAGTCGGCTAAGCATCTGCCTTCGGCTTGGGTCATAATCCCAGTGTCCTGGGGTCAGGCTCCCTGCTCATCAGGGAGCCTGCTTCTTCCTCTCCCTCTGCTACTTTCCCTGCTTGTGCTTTCTCTTCTCTGTCAAACAAATAAAATATTAAAAAAAAAAAAAAAGGAAGGAAGAAAGGTAAAGCCAATACACTTATTCTTAGAAAAATTATGACATTCATTCACTTCTTATTTACTTAAACATTTCAAATAAATGGAACTTATTTTGTGATTTAATATGAAAGTGGAATCAGACTACTATCTTCACGTATTATTTAATTTCTGTTAACATAGAACTTTTTAAAAAGCGTATTAATGAAAAAATATGCTAAACCATATGTAACATTTTGATTTCAGACACTCAATGTGGTTCATACGTTCTGTGAAATTTTTCCATAATGAGATATTGAAATGAAAAGATGCTTACATGCCTTGAGCTGCTGCTGAGTGTTTATAAATAAATTCCTTTTCCCGTCCCTTGTTTTCAGATTTGTAGAAGAGACAAGATTACAGTTAGGGAAGGAAAGCTAGGATTTATGCTAATTCTAATTAGGATTCATAGTAATACTTTACACCCCCCCCCACCTCCCAGGGTTATTTGGGTTTTATTAGAGGCAGTTTGAAGAAAGCATGATCAGCATTCAAAGAACTGAAATTTATTAATGAATTGACTAGTTTTGGAGTGCGTATTTTTGATGTGTGGTCTTGCCTGGCGCCCATCCCACGGTACCACAGGAGCATCTCCCTCATCTGTCCCTGGGAGGAGGCAGAGTGCTGTGACCCTCTGCTCAGTCTGTAAGTGCGGGTGGACTTGACCTGCAGAGGCACCAGATGATCCCACTCCAGCTGCGAGAGTACTAAGGAGACACGAAAAAGAAAATGTCAGACTTTACAAAGGAAGGGTCATGCTTAGAGTACTTAACGAATACAAGGGGTGGTGATAAAATTCTGGAGGAGAGATGGGTGGTAGGAAGCCAACCAATATGGCATCAAACTTAAAATATGCATACATGCAGTTGGGAAGACTTTGCATTTTAAGCATGTATGCATATTTTAAGTTTGATGCCATATTGGTTGGCTTCCTACCACCCATCTCTCCTCCAGAATTTTATCACCACCCCTTGTATTCGTTAAGTACTCTAAGCATGACTTTTCAGAATACTTTCATGTAATTCTATCCTTGTTAATTCTAATTTACTCATTTACAAGGCTGTTTCCAAACCAGACTTTAGCCTGGATGTATTTTAGCAGACTGTGTTATAATAAATAAGTAATTTGAAATTATGTTACTTCTCTCACTCTGACAAATTCCAGTCAACCCTTGAATAACACAGGTTTGAACTCCAAGAGTCCGCTGGCCCACAGATTATTTTCAGTAAATACGATACAGCACTGTAAATGTACTTTCCCTTCTTTACTATTTTTGTAATAACATTTTCTTTTCTGTAGCTTACTATATTGTAAGAATATAGTATATAATATGTATACATGTATGTGGATTTTTGACAGTGTGAGGGCTCAGTGCCTCAGATCCCCACATTGTTCAAGGCTCAGCTGCATTTTCATTTTTTCTGTGATCCCTTCCAGTTTCTACGCATATCCATGGAAAAACATACATAACTCTCTTTTGGGTTTAGTTTAAATCCCACCCTTTTCGACCTCTGTGAATTATATTATAAGGGTGTTTGATAACTTTTATAGCCAATATATAGTTATTTTTGTTTTATGTCTTTAGATTGAGTTTGTTTACCAACGAGCAAGGAGTCTAAGTTATTTAACTTTTTTCTCTTCTTTTCTATTGATTCTGATTTCATTTAGGAATTACATGACCTCTTCAATCTGCCTCATGACAGACCGTATTTCAGAAGATCTAATGCTTATCACTTTCCAGATGAGCCATACAAAGATGGTTACATTAGAAATCCACATACTTATCTCAATCCACCTAACGTAGAGACTGGTATGGTGAGTTTAATAATTATTTATGGAGTCGACTGATGATCAATGTCAGTGGTGATTTTTTTGTGTGTATCCAGTAGAAGTTTTAAGGATTGATTCCGAATGTATGTCATCTCTAAAACAAAATTTACCACCCCTTTCTTTTAATAATCATTGCTTAAAATAGCAGTATTCACAATAGTCTGAAAAGGTCAGAAATAGATAGCATGTACCACAGTTTTCCTACTAAAATTCCATTCCCTGATTTATTTAAAGGCATATCCCCATTTATTTTCACCCTGAGCCTGAGAAGATCATGCCAAGTAAAGAGCGTGTTTACCCACAGCACGCCGCAGCCAAGTTTGGTAAAAGGCCCTGCGGCACGTTTTCTCTGCAGCAGGTACCTGGGTGCCATTGGCAGCTTCCCACCAACGGAAGCTCCAAGAAGTGTGGCTGGTGGGGCACGAGGAGCAGTTCCTTAAGGGTGCGTGTGGGCTGGGAAGAAGGGGTCCCATGGGCATCCCAGCCCAGGAGTTCTTGCACAGCCCGGCCTCTTAGCAGCTCTGTGACTGGCAGCCTCCTGACTCAGGCCTCCGCTGCTTCCTTACTGGAATTTTTACGGCTTTCCAGGGGTATGCTTTGATCCGAAGTGGCCTGCCTTTACCCTGTCTTCTTAGCCTGTTTCCTCATTGTTTCCAGTTGTTTTCCTGCCACCCTTAAAGCAGCTCACCGCCCGGCTCCTTTCAGCCTCATTCCCGCCCCCGACTGGCGCCTCTCACACCCCAGTTCCCCTGAGAGGAAACCTAATTGTCCAGCATGTCCTGGCATTTATTCAGTATCTAATGCGTCTCTGTGCGCTATGTAAGGAAATCCTACGAATGAAAAATGAATCCATGATACAGCCTAGAGGACTGCAGGAGCCACTTCTAGTCCTGGCCGTCAGAGGGCGCTGGGGACAGCAGTTCCGCCCGCAGCAGCCGTGGACCGCCGGGCTTCCCACGGAGAGACCCTGGCTGGGTGCTTACCCGGTCATGTGGACAGATGAGTCTCTAGTCATCCTGTCGATAGAAAATCATTTCATTTATTTTGCTTGTATGGGAGGAAATCCCGGGAGACCTCTTCCTGGTTAAAAACCTTGCTCTGTCACAGTCATAGTGTCACCATAGGCCGTACAAAGTGTAGAGTCTCTAACAAACAACATAACTCTTGATGGTTTTCTAGATTATTGCATAAACGTCTTCTCTCAGACTATATTTGGGACTCCTGTAGATAGGGTGGGTGTACTGTGTCATATATTCATTTTTAAATTTTAATAGTTCCTTACAAAGTGCCTAGACATTGAAAACGTACCAAATAAATGCTGATTGATTTTTGACAGTGAAATGGGTTTATTATTTCTATTATGGAGATATAAGAAGCACTTCCATATTTTAAGACATTCAGTATATGATGTTTTATATGTACATATAACATATATATAAATTGTAAAGCACAGTAAGGAGATGAATACCAGAGAGCTCCCTACCCAACTTAAGAACTAGAACATTACCAGCCTACGTGTGTGTTCCTTCCTTTTCCACTCCTCTGCCTCCCCACAGCCTGAAGGGAACTCAGTGTATCCTGAGTTTTATTTGTATCCCTCACTTCCTTTTTTTTTTAGTTTCCCCACATAGGTGCATATTTCCTCAACACTTACAGTTTTGCTCATTTTGAGTTTTATAAAAAACTGGGTCATTTTATATTTGGTCTTCTACAATTCGCTCTGGCACTCACTAGTAAGTATCCAAGAGTTAGTCACGGTATTGTGTCGAACTGTGGTTCGACTTCTTTATTGCCATGTAACAAACTATGTATGGTTTGGTCCAGATATTTTGTTATTCAGCCAACCCTGATAGGAAAGTTGCTGTACCTATTTCTTGTTATATATGTGCAACAGCCGTCAACATTTTGCTTCATTTCACCTTCTCTCCCCACTCCCCCCAACCCGGGCCATTTCAAAGAAAGCCACAGACAGCCTGGTATTTACCCCTAAACACTATAGCACAAATCTCCAAATAGTAATAGATTTGCATTCATGGGATTAACCTACTTTGGTTATGATTCATTATTACTTTTTGTTCTCTGCTGGATTTCATTTGCTAACATTTTTAAGATTTTTGCATCTGTGTTCATGAATAAGATTGGCTTCTGAATTTCCTCACATTGTTATTTTTTTTTCCTGTCAATAATATACTGGCTCATTAAAAGAGTTGGGTAGCATTCCCTTTCTTTTTTTTTTTTAATTTTCTAGAGGAGTTTTTATAAGATTGGCATGATCTTTTTTGATCATTTGGTAAAAGTTACCTATAAAATAATCTGTGCTTAGCACTTTCTTTATGAGAACATTTTTAATAAATTTAATTTTATTAATGGTTATAGGACTTTTTTCATATTTCTAAGTTCTCTTTACCTAGGTTTTAGTTTCTCCCATAGTTGTAGTGATGGGTTTTTGTTTTTTTTTTTTTTCATTCTTTGTATCATTTTTATGCCTTCTTTAAAAAAAACTTTTGGTTTTGCTGGCCCCCTTTATTGTAAATTCTATATTCTGTTTCATCAATTTTTTGCTCTTAACTTTTTTTTGGCGGGGGGGAATCAATTTTATTTTTTTAACTTAATTTTATTTTTTCAGTGTTCCAAGATTCATTGTTTATGTACCACACCCAGTGCTCCCTGCAATACGTGCCCTTTTCACTTTCTCCTTCCTTTACTTTCTTTGATTAGTTGTTTTTGTTCTCACTTCTTAAGTTGGACATTTGGCATATTGTTTATCTTTTTTATTCTCTAAGTTTCTAAATTTCAAGCAAAGCACTGTTTTCACAGGTTTTAATTTCAAGTATTTTAGTTTTATTCAGTTCTAGGTGTCTTTACACCTCTATTATGATTAATCTTTTTTTTAAAAAGATTTTATGTATTTATTTGACAGACAGAGATCACAAGTAAGCAGAGAGGCAGGCAGAGAGAGAGGAGGAAGCAGGCTCCCTGCCGAGCAGAGAGCCCGATGCGGGGCTCGATCCCAGGACCCTGGGATCATGACCTGAGCTGAAGGCAGAGGCTTTAACCCACTGAGCCACCCAGGCACCCCTGATTCATCTTTAATCCATGTGTTATTTCAGAGTTTTTTTTAACATCCAACTATATTAGAATTTATTTATATATGTAGGTACGTATATATGTATTTTTACTGATTTCTGACTCCTTTGCATACTGATCAGAAGCAATTTTTATGTGATAAAGATTCTGAAATTTACTGAGACACATTCATTTCCTGAGGATGCTATAGAAGCCACAAATTTGGTAGCTTGAAACTACAAAAATGTATTCTCTCAGTTGTGGAGGCCACAAGTCTGAAATCCCTATCACGAGGCTGAAATCAAGTGTCAGTGGGGCCAGGCGCCCTCCAAGGGCTTTGGGGAGAATCCCTCCTGTGCCTCTTCCAGCTGTGGTGGCTGCCAGCGCTCCTTGGCCACATCGCTCCCATCGGGCCTCTGTGCTCATGTTGCTTCCTTCACTCCTCCTGCGTCAGCGTTCCCTCTCTGCTCTCTCACAAGGATACTTATAGTAGTTGAGTTTCAGGCACACCTTGGTACAAGAAAATTGTACCTTGGTACAAGAAAATTCTCCCATACATTAAGTTCCTTAATTTAATCACAACTTAAGAGCCCGCCTCCCCCCCCCCTTTTTTTTTGCCTTTTGATCCTATAGCATAGTCTTCACAGGTTCCAGGGATGAGGAGATAGACATAATTTGGGGTCATTTTTTCCACCTACCACAATGTTCTTGTTAAAAATTTTCTGTCTGTGCTTGAGAAGAAAATATACTAATTGTTGGATGAGGATTGTTTGTCCATGCCTCTTCTTACCTAATTTTAAAAAAATATTACCAGTTTGTGGGGAAAAAAACACGAGTATTCTTTTTTTTTTTTTGAATTTTTTTTTTTTAAAGATTTTATTTATTTGTCAGAGAGAGAGGGAGAGAGAGCGAGCACAGGCAGAGGCAGAGGGAGAAGCAGGCTCCCTGCCGAGCAAGGAGCCCGATGCGGGACTCGATCCCAGGACGCTGGGATCATGACCTGAGCCGAAGGCAGCTGCTTAACCAACTGAGCCACCCAGGCGTCCCACACATGAGTATTCTTAACGTTATACTACAAGAAAGAAGTTACATGATCTTGGCCTTTATTTAAGGATATTTAAATAGCATACCTGGGCTATAATCAATGGTGGCAGGTTTACAAGACTGGAGGAATATTCTTCATATGTCCCATTATATGGCCCCTTCATTTATTTATTCCTCCCTTCATCATTTATTCAGTAAACATTTATTGACTATTAACTGTTTGCCTCACCCCCTGTAGAAGCTTGGGTCCAGAAATAAATAAGGCACAGTACCTGCCCTTATTAAACTCACATATTAGTGTGGTTAATAAGAGATTTTAAAAGTAACAAGTAAGGTGTCAAACAGTGCTTTGAAAAATAAAAAAATAAAGCAAGCTAGAGTGCCGGCCAGGGCAGGAGGTGGGTGGTGAGGGAGTAAAGCATGCCATTTCCAGGTTGGCTGATGATGGATGGTCTCTGATACTTGAGCAGAGACCTGAACGAAGTAAGAGTGCCGAGCTGCACATTATTTGGGTAGAATATTCCAGGCAGAGCAAACCATAAGGCTCTGGCCTCAGATTGCCCCTGGAGGATCCGAACCTAAAGCAGAGCAAGCTACAGGGGAAAGTGGTACAAGATGACCTTGGAGAGGAGGCCAGGGAGCAAGATTTGCCAGGCCTAGAGCCCAGGGTAACAACTTTGGACAGTTGCTGAAAAGCCAGGAAAGTATAATGTTCAACTGTAGTTCTCTGAAGGCATTTTTGTAAGGAACTGAAGTAACAGTCTGGCTCTGAGAACAGTAAACTTGGCTTGGATGTCTGTGTAGAAAATGTGCATCTATCTTAAGTTAGTATGTTACTCTGTTTCTTCTTTTTATACAGATTCGTGTGGTCCAGGGCACCTATGGTTATCATCACTATATGCAGGATCGGGTGGATGACAATGGCTGGGGCTGTGCTTACCGATCTCTGCAGACGATCTGCTCTTGGTTCAAACACCAGGGCTACACAGAGAGATCCATTCCAACACACAGGGAGATTCAGCAGGTACGATTCTAATCAACTGTACATTTCATTAGCCCTTAATATACCAGTAATAATGATTATTACCTCATGGTATAGACTTCTGAAGGGGGAAAAAAACCATACTGGTAATCAGGGAACAGGTCCTAAATGTAGTTGTTTAATAGCTGTCTTGTGTATGGGTTTTTTGTGTTTTTAAATACACAAAGGCTCTAGTTGATGCCGGGGACAAACCAGCAACGTTTGTTGGATCACGGCAGTGGATTGGATCGATCGAGGTACAGCTCGTACTGAACCAACTGATTGGTGTAACTTCAAAAATACTGTTTGTCAGGTGAGGACACCTTAAGAAATTAGTGACATCGTTTCAAAGCAAGTTTGCCATTTTATTAGAAAAGAGGAAAATTATATATTCTCCTTTCTCTTCCTCCACACTGTTTTTACCCTCTCCTACACATTGCCTTACTGCTTTACAAATCTTTTTTTAAATGCTACATTTTTTGGCTATTGAAGACTTTGAGTGCATGAGTAAACTTTGCGATACATATACTTGCATGGTGTTAATTTAGCCGAGAAAAGGAACACTTAGAAATATGTCAGCTGTGGGGCACCTGGGTGGCTCAGTGGGTTAAGCCTCTGCTTTCGGCTCAGGTCATGATCTCAGGGTTCTGGGATCGAGCCCCACATCGGGTTCTCTGCTCAGCAGGGAGCCTGCTTCCTCCTCCTCTCTCTCTGCCTGCCTCTCTGCCTACTTGTGATCTCTGTCTATCAAATAAATAAATAAAATAAAATAATAATAAAAAAAGAATCATTATTAAGAAATATGTCAGCTGTGACTGAGTTACAGAAAATCAACTTTTTTCTTTATCCTCAACTCTTTAAAATATCTTGAAGGGAGAAATTCAGATGTTGATCTATGACTGCCCTTTTTGTGTACCTCCTGCCCTTTTTCTTCTTAAAATGTCAGTAAACTAATAATGTGTCCAAATAATATATTCGTTTTTTCCCAATGCAGTTTAGCCATAATTCTAGCTTGAAAATATGAGCAAATATCAGGTCATGATTGCAGGGTCCTGGGATCGAGTGCTGGGTCAGGCTCCACCCTGGGAAATTCTCTCACTCAGTCTCTCTCTTTAAATACATAAATCTCAAAAAAGTAATAATAAATAAATAAATCTTTAAAAGATAAAAATAAAATATGAGCTAATATTAAATAAGAGGTTATTCCTTATCAGTGAACTTCTGTTTTAAATACATTTTCTATTACAGTAACCTCAATAGATATATTACCCTCTTTTGTCCATGTGCTTATGTCCCAGAATGTCTGATTTCACAGCTACAGTTTAGACCGCCTGTGGAAACCAGAGCTAACAAATAAATGATCGATTAAATAGTGAAGCACATGATGATTGCAAAGGGAACGTTTTGGCACATCAAAACCTTACACGTTCCTTACTAAGCAAGAGCTTAGAATTAGATACCAGCTGGGACCTCCAATCCAAAAAAAGATGTCCCTTCATCTGGCCAGCTTTCTCTCTTCTCCAAAGTACAAATTGTATAGGACATTGAAATATTCCCTAAAATAATATGTAATACTTGAAAACATTTTGCAGTTTTCACTATGGCTTCACAGATCTTGTCTATTTTAGTCCAGATCTCCTGTCACGTAGATAGGGCAGGGGTGATGGGACCCAGTCTAAAGATGAGGAGGGAGACTGAGTCTGATGGTAAGAAGACAAGAACCCAGGACTTAAAACTCATTCTTCTGACATTAAATCCACCCAAAAGAGCCCTGTGGTCATCAAGGTGACCACTTTCACTCTTCCCTTAAAAATCCTTCGTTGTGCAGTTCCAGAAGCAAAGAAGCAAGGTCTTAAGTGGCCTTAAATACTTTGAAAGGTTATGGTGCTTTTGGTTGCTCTCAAGTCAGTTACCTACCACTCAATGTTATTTAAATTTATCATGTTTTTTTTTTCAATAACCAAAAAAGAAAACAAAACGGTAGAAAACACTGGCTCCCAAACTCCTTATTGGACCTTAGTGTGAGAAATCATTCATCTGATGGAAAATGGTTTCCTTCTAGCCAAGGTTGTGAAATGGCCTCTCGAGGACGGGAGCTGGCTAATCACTTCCAGACTGAAGGAACTCCAGTCATGATCGGTAAGATGTTTGGGACATCTTGGGCTCTTTGGGTAAAGAGAAGAATATATAAAATTTATTGTTGATATAAATAATGTCACATAAAATCAGTCATTTTTAAACATTTGAAAATTAGCTTTTATACCGTCCATACTGACCTCTGGATATTTATTGTTCAATTTTCAAGGTGGGAGGAAAGTTATAAAAAAGATGTAATAGCCAAAAGTAAAGGCTGAGAAGAGAAGTGATATAACTGTTGAAGTATTTAAAGAATCAAGAACAGTATATAAAAGAGGCCATGGTCAGTCAGTTGAGCCTACTAAGTCACGGTGCGGTCTCTAACGCGGCTGGCTGTGTAGCATTACATGAATTGCTTCACCTCTCTGGGCTCTATTTGTAAAGAGGATTAGATGAGTTGATCTAAACCTTGATGATTCTGTGGAGAACAAGACTTGATCTGGGATGACAGAAGGCAAGTTAAGACTGGTATGTAAGATATGCAGGCAGACAGATTTCAGCAGAGTATCAGAAGGATCTGAATAGGTAGATGGGCTGTCCCTCGGGGGGTACTCGGAACAGAGGCCGCATTTTCCATTTGCTGATAGAGGCCTCACAGCAACTGTGATCCTCCGTAGCCCTTTCTAGATCCAATTCCATGGATATGGCAGTGGAATAGAAACCTGATATGGTTACAAATATGATTGCATCTTTTCTGATTTTAAAGGTAACAATTTTATCTTCTCAGAGTATACTTGACGTGATCTGTGATCTTTTATAATCTAGGCTAGCAATTTTAATGCTATGTCAGATTAACAGGCCAAATAATCTTTTTAAATTGAAATTGACTAGGGAGTTGAGATTCACATATGCCCTCTCATTTTTCTGATTTCCCTTGCTATAGGGGGAGGAGTTTTGGCCCACACAATACTAGGAGTGGCATGGAATGAGATTACAGGGCAGATAAAATTTCTGATTTTAGATCCACATTATACAGGCGCTGAAGATCTACAAGTTATTTTGGAAAAGGTAAGTACCTGTTTAACACAGATTTAGAGGCAAGGGAAAGAATCAGACTCAAAGGAGAGCAAACTGGCCATTAACAGAACTACAGACCCAGGGCTGTGATGTACCCTCTCAGCAGGTATTGTAGGCCAGTGAGGACTGTCTGTCTGCATAGGGAGGACAAGAGGGAACTAAAGTGAATTGCAAAGAACAAAATTCCGGTTAGATTTATGAAGACTTTCCTAGTTATTAAACTTAATAATGGAACAAAGAGCTTAGAAATATATTCTTTTGGACATGTTACAGCTTTGCATAAACAAATGTAATGGAATAGAGTGGATTAAATAACCTTTATCATTGTATTATTAACCAAAAATAAGCAGTATGTTGGACATTATGGAGGCTACTTCTAATTTATTTATATATAATTTATTCTCATTCTGTAAAGGATTTGAATTTGAGACAAATGTTAGAATATTCATTGATACTTACAGTACCAGTTAAAGGAGGTGTAAATTTAACTTAATGTATAGGCAACTAATTCTCACATATGAAAACTCATTCTAAAACTTTAGAAGGCAAGGATAATAAGACATAATTAACTTGAATTTAAGCTTCTGTATTCTTTGCTAAATATATTAAAATTACAAAGAAGGCATACAACCTTTTCAGCCACAAACCCATAAATATATCCTACTGTTACTCACTACCCTTCATTTTTCTCATGTTGTCACTTAAGTCAACTTCATTAATACCTTATAAAAAGCTTTCTCTGAACTTTGAAGTTGTAGTTTAATTAGGTCATTTTTTCTAAAAGCCCAGCTGGAAAGTCACTGGTGAGTCATTTTCAGAAGTTAAACAGAACGTAACTGCATGAAGTTACCAAAGCCCTGGGAATGAGGGGTTTAGTAGTCAGGAGCTTAGTGTGTGTGTAGCTGAATTCTTTTATAACCCAGTTTAGTAAAATATTTTGCCAGTGATAAGACTATAAATACAACAGGAGATAAATGTGTCCTGCTTTTATCCTTCAAGGCATTTGGACTTGTAAATCTGAAATGTTTCCTGCTGCACACCAAAGTGGGAGCAGTACTTCCTCTTTCCATAGCCAAGTGTTGGTGCACTCTAAATGAAGTGTGTGTGTGTGTGTATGTGTATGTGCTGCCCACTGCTTGGAGCAGTAGGGGTATTAAAAAAGGTCTTTAAGGAGCTCTTAGTCTAGAGTAGAAGAAAAAAGAGATCCAAAAACTATTCCCAACAACAACAAAAATACGGTTATCTAACGTAGAGTTTGCAAGGCTGATCCATTAGAGGGATCCCTTAGAGCCGGTGAAAGGACCGCGGGCCACGTTCCCAGAACTACAGCAGTTCCAACAGGATCCAAGCCTGCGAAGGGGTGTGGCTGGAGGGAAAGGCAGGGGTGAAACTGAGCCGGGCAGAGAAGCAGAGCATTCAGTTTTCATCTTAGAGGCAGTGAGAAGCGTTCATTATTTTAATTAGAAGTATGATACAGATAATAAAATTACTTCTTTCTGGCTGGTTTGAGGAACTTTGCAGTAGATGGAATTGTCTAGATAGGCTTTCCTGAAGCGTTGAATAAGGCGTTGTCCCTGATTACTTTCTCTGAGGCTCCTACTGTTCTTTTTTGCTGATTAGATTTCTGTAGAATTTTCTTTTTTTTTTTTTTTTTTTTTTTTTTAATATTTCATTTATTTATTTGACAGACAGAGATCACAAGTAGACAGAGAGGCAGACAGAGAGAGAGAGGGAGGGGGAAGCAGGCTCTCCGCCGAGCAGAGAGCCCGATGCGGGGCTCGATCCCAGAACGCTGAGATCATGACCTGAGCCGAAGGCAGAGGCCTTAACCCACTGAGCCACCCAGGCGCCCCTGTAGAATTTTCAATTGTAGAAAACCCTCTGCCCTTTTAGCACGTGTAAGGAGCCCTGAAGCCAAGGCCTGACCTTGTGAGAGTCAACACTGCTCTCACTTGAGAATAGAGAGCAGTGTCTTAGAGTCTGGGCTACTGTAACAGAACACCATCGCCCAGTCGGCTTATGAACAACAGAAATGGGTTCCTCGCCTTTCTGAAGGTGGCAAAATGAGAGACACCCGCAGGTTAGGTCTGGTGAGCCCCGCTTACCAGCTCACAGACAGCGGTCTCTTCACTGGATTTGCACAGAGTGGAAGGCATGGGGGACCTTTCTGGGGCCTCCTTAATGAAGGCACTAATCCCATTCATGGGTTCCACTCTCAACCTAGTCACCTCCCAGAGGCCCCACCTCCACATACCAGCACCTTGGGATTAGGTTTCAACATGAGTTTTGGAAGGACACAAACATTCAGCCTAGCAAGGACTGTAGGGAAAGTTCTGCCTCTGCCTGACCTCTCTTCACCCTCCTGTGGAACTTTCCTGTTTAAAGTTCCCAGACTAGTCACCTCAAAGAAAAAGACCATACTCCCATGTCTACTCCCATCAGTTTCTGGTTTGGGCACCCTCTCTACCCACTTCTCTTTACAATGATTTGAGTCTGGTTACCTGGAAAAGGCTGAAAAGATGAAAACAGAGTATAAAAGCCTTTATTCATCATTAAGAAAACAGATTTTAGGACATTAAATTTTAGAAAAGGTTTGGCTAAAAAAAGGTTATTTACATAAAGAAACAGGTCTCAAAGACAAAAAAAAAGATTTTTTTTTTACAGTTACCTGGGAGTGGGGAAATAGGACTGATGGAGGATTTTTTTTTTTTACTTTCATTGAACTTTTAGAATGTAGATCTAATTTTTGCAGTCCAAGAAAGAAAAATGCAAACATTAAAGAGTTCCTCTAAACCCTCCAACCTCCACACCAAAAAATAGAGCTAAGACACTATTTTCTGTAGAAACCATGAACTTTAGCTCTAGGTCACTGCCAGGATACAGAGCAGCAGCTTCCGAGTTAGGCTAAGGAATGAGACCACACTACTTGTCACACACCCAGTGGTATTTAAGAGTTCTAGCTGGCCAACTCCCGAGTATTTTGCCAGCAAAGCATTTCATTTCAGAATGATGTAACTCAGACTAGTCATTAACTGGGTCTTTAAGAAAATAGATCAATGGCCCTAGAAGAAATTTGATGTACTTTTGGATTCACAGATTTTGTTTGAAAGTAATTTTCTCTTCTGGGGAAAATAATGGAAAAGAATGGAAAGTGGAAGGATAATAGCCTGAGGACAGTGAAGGGCAATTCAAGAGGCCGGCACAGATTTCTCCCTGCCACTTTCCTTGTAGCTAAGAAGCACAGCCTGGTCCCTAAGACGGCCTTCAGTGGCCTACCAAGAAAAACAGATTGCCAATTCTCCTCTCACCTGCTGCTGACTGCCAGAGTTATAAAACTTAGACTCAATAAAAATGTGGTTATTTGGAGTAACAGTTACCATAAGGGAACTTTATCTTTTCTATGATTAAGTACTGTAGAATTTAATTTTTTTTTAACTATCTGAAATGGACCCAAGTATGTTACTTTTCTGTGCTTTATAGGAGTTCAGATCTTTGAGTTTTGTAAGTTAGAGTCGTATTCTGGGACTCAGCTGACAGAACTGGACTGTAAAATGTTACAATTTTGATCATGTAATCCTATAATTTAGTAAAAGGTTTTCCTTTCCCTTCTCCCAAATCTAGGGCTGGTGTGGATGGAAGGGCCCAGACTTTTGGAACAAAGATGCTTATTATAATTTATGTCTTCCTCAGCGACCAAATATTTTTTAAAATATCTTGGACTCGAAGACTGTAGTAAAGTTGTATTATAAATTTGTTAATAAAGACTAAGTTTAACTTCAAATAAAATCCTGGGTGTGGTCTGATGATTTAAACTACAATTTTAAAAAAATAAAAAATAAACTACAATTTTTTTCAAAGTCTGTTTGATACCACACAAAAGTTTATTCTTTAGACATTCTTTAATAACTTAAAAGACAAAGCAGGCACAACTGAAATATTACAGGCATGTAAAAACATGTATTCTGAACTGTTATCTTCACTTAGAAGAAAGTTTTCCTCCTTCTTAGAAGGAGCTGAGATATACACCTGGTGAGCCAAAAGCCATAGCTTGTAGCTGAGCAGTAGATCTGCACGGAGTGAAGGCCTTCTTCAAACCTTTTCAGAACCAACGTGAATCTGTGGTTAAACATAGTGACATCAGAAACTTTTTAAAAAAGGTTTTCTCCCCAGCCTTCCATCATGCAGGATGATTTCTGGGCTCCAGAATCTAGCAGTAGTTACTATAACCAGTATTAACATGTGTTCACAAAAAGAAAAAGACACACTAGAAATAAGACTGCCAAGACTGAAATAATTAACTGCGCCGAATAAGCAATCCCTGAGGGAGGAGGAAAACAGAACTGAGTTACTCACCAACACTTCCTTTTTCCAGTCGTATTTTCTACACTTCCGAAGCTTCGTTTCTGTCTGAGCACTGGAACACAATCATCTCTATCGGATCGGTCACTTGATTTTATTGTCTGCATACATTTAATTGTTGTAAGAAACTTGGCACATTCTAGAAATCCATAGGCCCAAGCAAGATCTTCAGCTGTTTGTCCATTCTTATTACATAAACTAAATTTAAGACAAAAACTGAGTTACATAAAAACTGACAACTGTTTAGCCTTTTTAATACATCCTTCTACAAAAGAGCTTTGGGTTCATACAAATCTTGGTTTCAGAACAGGAGTGGTAAAGGAATCAGAGAAATTCCAATATTCCCTGCTACTGCATCCTGAGTGGCTAGCGGAGTTCAGCACACAGTGGACCTTCCATTTTTGAGTGAATGAAAGTGTTCTGTGCTCCATATAGTAAGTAATACTCCAAGGAAGTCAATGAAAACTTTTATTGAAGGGATTATCCCAAACCAAAACTAAGATGTAATATTGCCACAACAGATGAACAGAATTGCACCTCTGCTAAGGATCCATTTTTTTTACTTAAATGTAATAGTATTAGATATCATTAACAGCCTAAGTTAACATTTAAATGATAATCTAAATTGTCAATTAGGCAAGCATCATTTTTAAAAGCGCATGTAATTAAGCTTCAAGGATCTGATTAGCTCAATCCAAGAAAATAGGAAATTTTTGAAGTCACTGATTTTATACTCACTCAATTTGGGCATCCCTGGCTACAAGCAGGCTAAGGCATTCCAGACTTCCAACTTTTGCTGCCTTGTGTAGCGGAGCCTCTCCAAAGACATCCTTAAAGATAAGATAGCACATTTTAGTTTCTCCCAAAACCATTTCTGTGGAAGTTGGTAAGGAAAGTCAAATTACTGTTGAAGAGAACCAGTTAGAACTACATTGTACTAAATTTTTTTAATTTGTCTTTTTTTTTTAAATAAAGTTCACCTGGTGTTCTATTAAGTACAAAGTTTTCATCAATAAAAACACATGCAGCCACAACTACCTACATTAAAATTTAGGTGTATAAAAGCAGAGTAGAATATTATAAAGGTAAAACAATTTAAATTCAACCCACTTTAATATTCAATGGGAGATGCAGACTACCATAAAACAGTTCTGTAGAAAACTGTAATAGTTGTGAGCTTGCCTCACAACTGTTATTTATTATTTCTTTTTTAATCACAACTGTTATTTAAGTAATTTCTGTACTGAGACTTTTCATCTGGTAATGTAGCAACTGTTCCTTTTGAAATGAACTGCAGACCTGCGTGTGCTGCGCAGGATCCCAGCCGGGAGCCACAGAGTTGGCTGACGAGCCCTTGAAACGTGGCCAGACTAAGCTGAAATGCGCCGTAAACGTAAAATACACGCCAGACTGAGATGTCTGAAAAGACAATGCAAAAATCTAAGTCCCGTTTTGTGTTGATTACATATTGAAATATTGAGGTCAGCGGTGCTGAACCACAGAATTAACTTCACGTGTCATCTTACTAATGCGGCTCCTAGAAAATTTTACATTCCTTGAGTGCCTCACTTTATATTTCTATCAGACATCTCGCGATAGTCACATTTGTAACAAGTGAAAACAATATTCTGGCGTCTGCGAAACGTCTGTGTGGATTTTGGCGGGGGAGGGGGGCGGTCCACAGCAACAATCAGTAACCTAGTTACCTGCTGGTTGAGGTCAGCGCCAGTTTGCAGCTGCCACAGAAGCAAGCCAGCCAGGCCCCCACCTGCGGCCAAATGGACAGGCGACTGCTCGCAGGGATCCGGGGGTGCGTTGACCGAGGCCCCGGCCTCCAGCAGATGCTTCAGACTATCCACCTGCGGGAGGAGAACAGCAGCTCCAGCACCCCTCTTGCCTTTATCCCGCCCCGCGCTCTCCCGCTGTCGGAAATCTTACCCCACGCCCCAAATCTGACTCTGAAGGGGGTTGACTCGGCAGCGCTCCGTGGTCAGTCCCCCTCGCTAGTGCTCCCGAGCTGACAGACACCCGGGGAAGCTAAGCCTGCAGGACGGAAGGCGCCCGCGTCTCACCTCTGGGTTGCAATCAAGCAACAGCATCTTCCGCCTACAGCCGAGGACAGGACGTCTGGGGAGCGCAGAGCGGCGAGCCAGGCGCCGCGGACTGGCAGGTAAGAGTGCGCAGCCTACCCGAGTGCGGGAGAATTTAGATTGCCGGGGCCAGGGGGCCGGCCTCTCGCCGCAGCGCCCCAGCCCGGGCCGCGCCCCAGGAGCCTCACCCCAGCTGCGGGGCGTTTCTCCTCCCTGCGGGAGCAGCACGTACACAAACACAGCCACGTGCCACCGCCGGGCCAGCTGGCCGGGAAGGCGCGGGTTCGCCCGCCGATTGGCCAACCGGGAGGCGCCAGGTCCGCCCACCCCGGGGCGGGGCCCTAAAGAGCCCCCGCGGATTCTCAGTGCGCTTGCGCCGCCGGGAAGGCAGGGCGGCGGGACTCCCGCGGCAGCCATGAGGATTGCTGCGTTTGGCACGTCTCACACTAGCGTGCCCAGCCCTTTGGTCCCTATGGAGAAGCAGGAATCGCGGGCGAAGGTTCTCGTTTCTGCGAGCACGCACGTAACCAGGAAACGAGAGAATTCTGGCAACCACCTCTGGAAGCCGCTGTGCGTGGTGCTGGCGCCGTGTCCTCCGCCCTCCAGCTCCGGAGGAAGGATGAGAGTTCCTTTGGCGTCACGTTCAAAATCTCACCCGCGCCCCCCGCTCTCCTCTGTCAGCGACACCCTGGACGTTTAGGGAGGAGGGCGGGAGCTGCGGGGGCGAAGGGGCGGCTGAGGGAACTGAGGTGATGGGTTTTACCACAGGGACTGCTTTGACACCCCCCCCCAACCTAAAAGATTTCTCAAACCCGGCCCTTTCGGTGACACCACGCCCATACTGGGAAATCCGGTAAAAACCAGCCAACCATTGTCCTGGGTCCCCTCTTGGGGACAGGTTAAAGCACCCCTGGGCTCGTCGCCTGGGAAAGGGTTGAGAGCCCAGGCTGTTAACCTTGAGCTTGCATAAAGGACGAGGACACTCAGCCCGAACCCTCACTGTGGCGACGGGGGGAGGGTGTTCAAGGAAAGTCGGAGGGACGCAGGCCAAGGACGTTTGTGACCCAAAAGGCTCTTCCCCGGCGGGGCCGCCGGTCCCTCGCTACCGCTCGGAGGGGAAAGCGGGGGAGGGGTGCGGGGCGGGTTCCTTCTGTTCCGCTTGAGGCCTTCCTTTCCCGGCGACTTGAGAAACAGACTTCCTGCCTTCAGGTTGTAGCTATCCCCACATCCATCGTCTCTTGACCTTCTTTACCTAAATGCGCTTTTCAGATCAGTCTTGCCAGAAACTAAAGCTGCATCCATATATTCATTTTCCTTAACATCCTCGGTGATTTCCTTCTTCCTGCTGATACCCTTGAGAGCAAACTGATGAGGAAACTTTATTCTTAGGCTCTTGGAGCACGAGCTCAGTGAGCGGCCTTTGAGTTCTCATTTTGGTTGCAGGATCTTGTTTATTTTGTAATAAGAGCAGTAAAATAATTTTACGATAATCTATTATACACTGACCCAAAGGGTAGTTTTCCACATTCATGTGTATACCTGAACATAAGTGTGTGTGTGTGTGTAGATATCTATGTTCAAACGCATAGAATCGTGCTTGTGTTCTATATTTTTTATATTGAAACTATTCAAAATATCTTTTTTTGATATTTGAAGAATGTCAGAGATCTGTGAGAACACATGATAACTACCAATTTCCCTTTTCTCGTGTTTATCAGTTATGTGAGTACTGTTTTTTAAAGCAAATAATTAAGCTTCGGGTTCACACAGATAATGAATGTAAGAATTCATTTTCAGGAATTTTTAGATGATACAAGGGATTATCAGAGAAGTCCTTAGCGTTCTAACCATAAATTGCAGTTAACATGGGCAATGGGATATCCGTGTGATGAATATGCCTCCATATTATATCCTTTTTATTTAAAACAAGATTCTATTCAGCAAGTGTTAAGTCTGGTAATTAGCGTTAACTTCTTGTTACATACATGAGTTTGACAAGGAAAAGGACTTTTGTGAATAGTTGTTAAAGCTTTTCTCCCTTTAATCACTTCCTACTTGTCCATCGCTCACAATGTTTCAGAAAAATTGTCTCAGTTAAGTATCTGGTTTACTGTTAGTAATGGGCCTAAAAGCTTTCTAAAAATGAATAAAGCTTGTGGAGCACAAAAATACCCAGAAGAAATACATTTGGGGAAGAAATACTATCTTACCAGCAAGCAGCTGGAGTTATTATGGAACATGTAGCAAACGGGACCAGTTTTCTAAAGAGAAAAATGACCTAAGATGCATATTCAACAGGCACTCTTCCAAGCAATGTTAATTCTATTTATGTTTAATTTGCTGGTAGATGTGTTTCCAGAAAGAGGATGCCATTTAGAGTGAATGTTTTACAAAAAAAGTTGGATGATGACCAAATGACCAAACGAATGAATGAAAGATGTGTGGACTGAGGAAGGGCGAGTAGGAGGAGTTTGCCAGGTAGTCCATGAAGCAAAGAGTATTTCTAAGGAGTATAAAGTATCTTCCAGTGTTAAGAGAACTATATGCAATTCAGTCTAGCTGCAGAATATGATACACAGGGATGTGAAATAAAGATTTACAAATAAGAAATTAAATGACCACTAATGTCTATTCCAATTTTTAAAATAAATTGACATTGAGCACTTGGCTATGCCCCAAGATTAATACAGATAGGTATTATTATCTGCTCCACTTTACAGGAAAGGAAATTGAGGCTTAGGGAGGTTCAATAACTTATCTGAGGTGCTATCCTTATTAAGGGGTGGAGCTGGCACTCAGACTATTTGATTCCACAGACCACATTCTTATATCTAAATTTTAAAGAATTTTGGTCATCGTTGGTAGATTTGGAGTTACTAAGAGTGATGCCTTTTTTTTTTAAGATTTTATTCACTTATTTGACAGCGCACAAGCAGGCAGAGCAGCAGGCAGAAGAGGAGAAGGAGACACAGGCTCCCCGACAATGGGGCTTGATTCCCCAGGGTCCTGGGATCATGACGGGAGTGAAGGCAGACGCTTAACCATCTGAGCCACCCAGGCACCCCTAAGATTGACTTCTTCAAAGCAAAAGAAAGTCCTCAGAGAATATTATTACAATCCATAGAAAAACAACCCTTTCATTCAGTGAAACATATAATGAAGTTGAATCACTAAGTTGTAAACTCGAAACTAATGTAACATCAACTATATTCAAATAAGATTTTAAGGAGTATTTGCCAAAAACAAATTAAAATAAAACAATAGAGGAAATTAGGGCAATTCTCTGTACTATCTTTGCAGTTTTCTGTAAATCCCAGATTATTCTAAAATATAAAGTAAAATTATTTTTAAAAAGAGGACTTGAGGCAACTTAAAATTAAACCATTATGTATTCTTTTTCTTTCTGTAGACCATGGCTATTAAACTTTTTGTGTATTCAAGTATTTAGTTTCACCTTTAAGTAACTCTCTTTCCAAATACAGTAATGATAGACAATACCTAAAACCTTATGAAGCTAGTTTTAATCAAAAGCACACAAAAAAATCCACAAAGTTTTCAAAACCAAACACTACTTGTTTTTTGTTCTGATTGACCAATACACTTCAGTTCCCCTGCAAAACACACTGCCCATTGCCTTGATCACTGTGAGATCTTATCAGGCTGTTTCTAGAATGCCCAGTTACTTGGGCTCACATCACTTTGAATTTTTTCCACATTTATAAAGATCATTTTTAACATCTAATATAATTAAATATTACATAACTGGTGAAATAGGAAAAATGAGAGCTGTGATTTTTAAGAAAACTAAACTCAATGCTTTCCAAAATCAAGTCTCTAAGAAGAATGTTCTCCAAGTAGGTGAGGATAAGTCAACCGTAAAAGATGAGAAATAGCTCTACATTCAGACTGTTTCATGGACATCTTTAAACTCATACTCCAAAGGAACATAAATTGGAATTCATATGCCTATGGTTTATGAAAAAAAGACAACTCTAAACTCTCAACATTCAACCTCTGTTAAAGAAATTGCTTCTAACCCTAGATGAGAAGATTGGAAAGTGACATATATTACATGTTATAAGTTAAAATGCATATGGTGTGATCATATATTCTTTATTAATTTTTGTATCGATTCTTACTTAACTGACCAAACACAATAAATGCTGGCAGTAAAAGTGTTTATTGAGCAACGTATTTCTTTCATTTAAGCAATATAGAGTCGCTGAATAGAATGCATTATATTTTTTCAAATTTTTATTTATATAAAAATTTATTTTTAAATTTTAAATTTTATTTAAATCCATTCAGCTAATGTGTAGTTTAATATTGGTTTCAGGAGTAGAATTTAGTGATTCATCACTTACATATAACACCCAGGGCTCATCGTAGCAAGTGCCCTTATTTACCTTTGGATGTTGAGTGACTCCCCTCAGGAAAGACTCTCCTAACCGTAATTGGCCAAAAATGGTTTCCACACAGCAGGAACAAGACAGGTGAGGCCTGGGAATCTCACGTAACTACCAAGATTTTTAACAAATCAGTCTTTCCTCGATTGGTTTATTTGCTCACAGAAAACATGGTAAATTGGAGAAAAAAAAGCTACAAGGCTCTTCCACCCAGTGCTTATCTGGTAGTAAAAGACATCCTGCCTTTTCCCACACTTTTTTTTCCCCCTCATTTCAGGGCATAAAAAGGAAGGGCGTGAAAAAAAAGCACTTTTGTTTTAAATAAACAATTAGACCTAACTGGAAGAGGGGGGTGAATAAAAAAACAAGGCCACTGCCTGATTCAATATTGTCTTGGGAGGTCTCTGTAATGTTCATAATATTCTTTTCTAAGTTTCCATGTATGTGTACAGGTTATGCTTTCAGTTAATATATGAACACTACTATTCTTTTAATGACTATTAGGCAACAGTAATGAAAGGAACAATAACAATAAACACAGGCCTTTGCATTTTTGCCCAGGACACTTATTTAACTCTATTTTCATGGGCACCAATAACGTTGTTTATCTACTATGATAGGAATTTCAGTGTTGTACATGGATTTTAAAAGAACTTTAAGTGTGTGCCTTTCTGCAGCAGTAAATAATGCAGGGTCCTGCATTCACTCTCAATTTCACCAGGGACTGCAGCGCTTAGCCACGCTCCTTTGTGGCAGTTTCTCATCTAAGACTTCATCTCTTCCTCACCATCCTGAGCCCAGCAACAATTTCACAAAACCTTCTCTGACTTTGTCCCTCATTCTCTA